CCTGGGTGCCCTCTTCTGCCCACCTCTGTTCCGCAGAGCCTGCCGCCACAGTATCTGCCCTATTGTGTGGGTCCAGGCCATCTTGACCTCTGCAGAGCTGGCCTGGAGAATGTAGGTGTCCTGGGACTTTCGCCGCCTGCGGAACCAGATCTCAAACCTCAAGCCGCTGTCTCCGACGTTCTCTGTCATCCCAATCTCCGCTGTCTGCACCATAAGCAAGTGGCAGCAGAGTCAGCAACCACTGATCCTCACCTGAACAGCTGACCTCTCTCTGGCTGGCCATCTGACCCCAGCACTTCAGTGCTGGAGTTCCTTCATCCAGACACCAAATGGTGGGGAATGAACTGGGTTCCCACCCATGTGCACTGGCTCTGTCTTGGAGCCTCAGTTTCTCGACTGGAGAAAGGGAGGCTGGACTGGAAGGTTCTGTGGTGCCCTGGGGCTCTTGCCCTGGACGGGGCCACAGGACCCCTTCTGGTGTACCCCTCTGCATTGTCAGGTAAGGGGTTACAGGTGTGGGCTCCTCCTGGGAGCTCAGGAGCTCAGAACCTGAGGGTAGGGTGAGGGCCAAACTTGAAGACTGGCCCAGGGGAAGGCCACCTCCAGTGTTGGCCTTCACCAAAATCTGAGACGAAGTTACCAGATGAGGAGACTCAGTTTTCCAGCCACTGAACCAGTACGTGGAACTATAAAGGACAAGTGTCTCCTTGCAGCGTTTGAAGCTCAGACACAGAACCCCAGGAAACAACAAATATCACATGCCCAAGCTCATACCCAGCAGACCAGGACCTGACACCCCGTGGCATCAGGTGTGAGGCCGGTGTGTTACCTTGAAGGACTGTTTGTACGTGTAGGTGTCATAGCCCCCGTCCACCTTCCTGGTCTTGCTAAACAGGATGAGGTCTTCAAAGAGGAACACGTGCCTCAAGTACTTTTTCCTTCCACAGCACACGATAAACTCGTCCTGGCATCTCAACTGTCCCTGCTCCTTCAGATCCACCTGCAGACGGAGCAAGCCTCCTCAGGGACCCTTGGACCTGCTCTGACCCCATCCTGACCCTGGGGAGAGGAGAGGGGCTGGAGGTGGAACTGATCACCAATGTCCAGTGACTCATTCAATGATGCCTGCATAAGGAAGCCTCTGAAAAACCCAAAGGACAGGGCTCAAGAGCTTCTGGGGTGAACGTGTGTGGTGCCCCGGGGAGGGCACGCCCCTCCCCACATACCTGGCCCTGGGCCTCTCTTCTGTCTGGCTGTTCCTGAGTATCGCCCCTTACAATAAACTGGTGGTGTAGTAAGTGAACTCTTTCTCTGGGTTCTGAGTGTCACGACTGATGTGTGTGGTGTGTGTCGGGGGCCATCTGGTAGGATGGGGAGCCCTTCTCCTGTGGGATCTTACCCTATGTCCAGGCGGATGGTACAGGATTGAGTTGAGTTATAGGACACCCAGCTGGTGCCTGAGAATTGTTGCTCAGAGGTATGGGGAAAACCCGCACACTGGAACTGGTGCAGAACCCTTAGGGCCAGGTAGGGCTCCTGCTCGTCTGCATGGAGGTTACAGCTCTTCAGTTTTACTTAACTTTCCACTTGAAAGTCCTTGTGTTCATTTTAATGGAAGCCCCCTTGTTGATGTGGTGCTAGTCTCACTCGTTACTGTATATAAACACCCAATGGGGCCAACAGGGAGTCAAGTTATGAATTCTGCAGCTGAGCTGCTCCCTTACCCCCAGAAATCCCTCCAAGCTGCAGGCTGGGCTGAGGGCTATGTGGAGGATGTGGCCTGCATGCACTGGCCAGGCTACGGCTCCCTTTGTGGCGTGTACCCCAAACCACAGACACCACTGCTAAGTCTCCCTTGTGACCTTCCAGCCCATGGACAGCCCTGTCCTGGGGGCTGCCTGAGAATGGCTGGTTCAATCCCAAAGGACTTGGCTGGGCCTGCTGAATGGAGGGCTTCTGGGAGCGACCACACTTGGGGTGCCCTGAGTCCTCTACGGCTGTCCACGGAGAACTATACTCCGTGCCGGACTCCATCTCTGGTGCTGGCCACAGCCACGGGTCTGTCTTTTCTAGCTGATGCCAGGGGTCCCACCTTCAAGCCCAGGTGGGGTCAAAGGACAGGGTGTCAGCACATCTCCGGCTGTGCCCACACATAGGCCAGTTTACCTTGCAAGGCACCCAGGGTCGGTCAGTGGGAGGACAATCCATGTGGGTGGTGGCCTGGGAGCCATGCCGCATCATGGCGGCCAGAAGGGCTCATGCTCAGATTGCTGCTCATGAAACTCTTAACGCTGTTTTTAGCAGAGCATGCGCATTTCCATTTTGTACTGGGAATTCTGTGGCTGTCCCTCCAGCTGTCAGAGACAAGGGGTTCTGCTGGAGAAAGGGCTCCTGTTCTGTCTATGCTGGTCCTGTCACGGCACCGTGAGGGGGGGCATGCATGTCAGGCCTCGGCACTCCAGCAGAGAGGCTGGCGGCATGGGATGAGCCAACGGTGGTCTGCCCCAAGCCTGACAGCTACGCTCAAGTTTTCATGCATCCAGTTGTTTTAAAAGTAGCCCCAATAAGCAGATGGTTAGCCATTCAGTGCCTGGCACAGTTGCCTGGACATGAAGCCCCTCTCTGCCGCCCTCACCTGCTGATCCCTTGGGAGGTCTCAAGCTTCAGGAGACTTCCCCAAAGGAAAGCTCATGCACTCTGACCCCAGGCCTCATCTTTCCCGAACTCAGGAGAGCCCATCAGGGCCTCGGGGCACTTACGTCACAGCCTCGGACGGCATCCATTGCCAGCAGGTCATTGCCGTGACGCAGCTGGAAGCGGACCACGTCTTCGGCAGCCCGAAGCTCACCCAGCTCCTGCTCCCAGGCGGGGCAGCTGCTAGCCTCCCTGACCAGGTCCTGCAGCAGTAGCGCATACTTGCCCATGCGCTGCACGGGCTTCAGCAAGTAGGAGGCCAAGTCCATCTTGTCGCCCAGCTCCCGCTGCTTGTCCTGCAAGGGCCGGGGTGAGAGGGTCAGCCCGGGCCCGGAGGGGGGCAGCGCGGCTCGCAGGGTGGGGGGGTGACCTTGAAGAAGGCGTTGCCGTGGCTGTAGAGTAGGGCGTCCGACTGGGGCTTGTTCTTGCTGTAGAGTGCATACATGCCAAACTGTTCCTCCTGCAAAAGGGGAGGGCACCGTGCACCTGAGTTGGGGGCCCAGATCAGAGTCTCTGCCTCTGCCCCCACCCTCTCTGTGCAGTCCCCCTGTGGGCATGAGACAAGGAGGCTCCACGCTGCATTAAGACCATCTGGGCTTCCCAGCACAGGGCGGGGGGCAACTCGGGCCGATGCCAGAGTTCTAGAATTGATCTTTACAGTTCAGGGTTTGGGGGAAGAGACAGAGGTCAGTCTGGGAAGGGGCATGGGGACTGTTTGCTCACTAACAGTTAGGAACCAAAGTTGTGTCAACATTTAAAATTCTCACCATTGTCAATATAAAGCAACACAGAGTTCACCTTATGGCTAAAAGCACCTTCTTAGAAATAGCTGGAAAGATGCAACATGGGATTTCTTTCCTCCTTGGGCATTTCTGTTGTGGTAATCTACACTTAATGATGCTGGGGCCAATGTCTCATCTGCCCACACCCCAGATGCCATGTGTCCCCACTGCCTGGAACACTGCTTGAGAACTACTTGGTGAAAGCATTTTCTTTTCAGACTGAATTCAGAATTTTATTAAGACCTAGACAGGGGAGATGTTCATATTCACAGCTGAGAAGACAACTCCCTCCTTGAGTCAATGTGCACACTCCATGAGCCTCTGTCGAGACGCTGATGGGGCTGACTGCAGGTGGGACTGTGAAGGGGACCAGGTGGGCTGGTGCAGGAAGCAAACTGATTTGGGGAGTTGCTTTGGGCCAATTACCTCGAGTGGTAAGGAGTGGGATGTGTGTGACCATGCAGGTGAACCCCCAGTGTCATGTGGCTCTGGGGAGCCAAGGGTGCCTTCAGGTGGCACCAAGCCAAACGTCCAGTGTGATTAGACCTACAGGCTTCTTGTCTACTTTGGCGTCTGTTTGTTGACGGGTCTTATGTACTGTTAGGGACACATTTCCTAGGCCTGGTCTGTGGTGATCCAAACAACTTGATATGTGGCACCGCAAGACCCAGGGCACCCGGAGCTGATGTCACCCCTGTCTACTACACGGGGCTCTGCCATGTGGACCCAGCCCCTGGGAAGGAGAGACTCACGTGTTTCAGGAACCCGCGGCCCGCCGCCAAGGGACCGTGCTGGCAGCGCTCCAGCTCCACAAGGAAATGCTGGTGGTGGAAGTCGTACAGCTTCTCCAGGTTCCCAAAAACAATGCTGTGCTTCCCTCGAAGGTCCTGGGGCAGGTCCGTTCTTTCCATTTCTGGAAAGTAGTTGTCAATGACATACCCTAAGGACTTAACATACTCCCGCTCCGTGGAAACCATCTCGGCCATTATGTGCCGCAGTCGGCTGCTGGAAGACAGAGAGGTGGGTGGACACTCAGGCTGCTGCAGCCCAGAGCCTCACTCCGGGCCTCAGGAGACCCTCTGTCAGTGTTGTTCCTGCTTCACACAGAGACAAGATGCTCCGCAAGCCCAGAGGCATACACACGATTAGACGTGGCAGGAGATGCACAGTAAACATGAACTTTCTGATTAAGTGTTCTGTTCAGCGACGAATCCTGTCATGTGTGCTCTGTTACCTGAAGTTCTCCTTTGACATAAATGAGTAAGATGAGAAATACGGGGGAGGGATGCGTATTAGAAAGAAACTGGTTGCATGAAACTTCTCTATACTATTGGTCACAGCCTTTTAGGATAAAAGATGCTTCCGGAAAGTGAAAAAGAGAGACTCCCAGGGCCCCTGACTTCGACCTGGAGTCCTGAGGTGTCTCATCACCAGATGGCTTGATTCTGGCACTCTCTGCAGGGAGGGCTCTGGCAGTAGGAAGATCTCAACACTGCAAAGAAGGCTGTGCAGGGGATTTACAAGGAGATGGTTTCTGATGAGCCCAGACTGCTAACCTACCAGAAGGTACTTCTGAAAACTCAGCTTTATGTGGCCATGACGTCTGACCCAGAGGAGAAGCAGCTGGAGCTGAAGAGGCAGAGCAAGGCAGAGATGGGCAGTAGGGGGGCAGACACCTCTTCCCTGCCACGCAGAGGGCTCCCTGGGCTCCTGCTGGTGTGGCGTCCAAGCCTGGGACGTGTCTCTGCCGCACGAGGCACCCCGGGGGCACCAAGCAGAGCCTGACCTGCTAGTAATGAGGCACATCGCCCCTCCCGTTTGCAGCACTCTGCCAGCAATGTTCCTAAATTACTCAATCCGGAGGATACTAATGGGGGCTTGTAGATTTTTTTCTGCCATTACTTGTATTTACTTGTTTGTTTTTTTGAACTGGAACACAATTAAAAGCACGCAATGGTACGAAATACACCTGTGGTCAGAAAGGCTGCTGAATGCATCCCATTTGCAGCTGGAGACCTTGTTCCTTTCCATACTCACATAACGGACTTTACAAATACCTACGGTTTCTGTGCAGGCAACACCTTCTGGCTAGCTGGGAGTCTGCAGCCCTCGCTACAGCGCTGGAACAGGTGGCCTGGAGGTCCCCCCAATAAACCCAAGGCCCCAGGACCCACAGCACCCCTCCTGTCAACATTTGCTGAAAACAGGCATCCTTAAATATTCAAAAACAAAACTACTGTGGTCTGGGGATTTGGAAATTGACACATGAGGACATAATGGCTAGAAATGTCTGGGGAAATGACTGCTGGCCAAGTGACAGGGACTCCCTCTGGACAACAGGCAGAAGGTCTGGGTTTTCATGGAAGACCGGGTTAGTCTGATGCTCTCTCCTCTAGGCCCTGGCCTGAGGAGGACGTGCTCCCTCTCCGGTGTGCTGTGGAGTCCCGCTACCACACCCTGGGTTGGTGGGTCCCCGGCCTGTGAAAGGTGGAAGGGGGGACTTGTCTCCAGGGGCAAAGGCAGGACAGCTTCCCGAACCTTCTCCCTCCAGACTGAGGATGCCCACTGTGGAGGCCTGGGGGCTCCTGGCAAGCAGAGGGCCCCCATCCCTGCAGTCTGTGCCTCTGAAGCTTTCAAGATGAGCTCAGGGGAGCAGGAGTGGTTCCTCCAAGAGCCTTCCCAGGGATTCCAACCCCCGGGGAGACCCACGCAGGGGCTCCCAAATGAAACCTTCCTGTTCCACCTAAAGTTTTGCCCTGAACAAGCTACACCGTAACCGCCTAGAGCCTGAAACATAAAGGTGTGTTTCAGGAGAGTATTTGGTGACCATCGCAGTTCAGAGATGGTCTCTGCATGAGGAGGAAACGTGTCCACCAACCAAATGAGCACAGAAAACGAGGATGACGCCCCACCTGCAGCCCACCCCAGTCACTATAAAGACGGACTAACAGCCCAAGGGGCAGGCTGTGGTACCAGCTGAGTGCACTACCTGTCATTAGGGTTGGGCACAGTTCCTGCCCACTTTTTAATCCTAATGGTTAATAAAATATATCTTTTTACACATATCTTCTTAAAGATTAAACAAATTCCTAGGGACATCTCCATTCAGGCAATGGATAAACACACATACTTCTCACCTCAGTGCTGACAGCCTTTTTTTAAAAGTAATTTTTAAGTAACTTCTTCATATTCCAGGTGTGATTTGCTTATCGTGATTTTCCATAAATGGGCCTCAAATGATGAGAGCTAGTTGTTCAACCATCAGAGCGGGTGAGCTAGGTGCCCACAAGCCACGGAAAAGGAAGCAGTTTTCAATGATCATGCTGAACTCGGGGGAGGGGGGTAAGTAACATTTTGTCTAAGATCAAACGCAAGTGTGCTGCCGGGACAGGGTGTGGTGGACCTGGAGGGATGTTTGTGGATCTTCCACTCTCTGAAAGGCTTTGGGTCTCTGGCACCACACTGACCGCTAAGCCCAAAGGCTGGAGGGGGTCCACCTCACCTTCCTGCTTGCCGCCTCCTGCCCTCCTCGGAGGGATGGATCCTGGAGGGAGAGGACAGACGCCGGCTCCGAGTGACCAGGGGGCTCTCAGCATGTAGCCGTGGTGGGGACTGCTTCTTGGAGGCCACGCTGCTGGTCACCTCTAGGCCCCTGATGAAGACCCCAGTGTGGCCTGGCCAGGGGGCATCCCTGGGGCCACTGTCAAGCTGTGCAATCTCAAAGCTTCGTGTTTTCCTCATAATTTTCTTCAGGGGATGTTTCCTGGGGTGGGTGGTGGGTGTCTGGATGGGCGTGGAGGAGCAGGTGGGGCTGTCATGTGGGGAAGGCACACCTGGGGCCAGGTGCTCACCCTCCTGCCTGCTCAGAGAGGCTTGTCCAGGGAGGCCAGGCAGCAGTTGGGCCCGCTTCCCAACGCAGTCCTCTGGGTCAGTGGGGGGAGTCCAGGATGGCTCACGGTGCCGCCTCTCGGCCGCCTGCGCAAGCTCATGCTTCAGGGCTCTCTGGTCCAGAGGTGGGGTGCCAGGGTCTGGGCTAACCCCAGATAGGGCCTCCTGGAAGCAGAGGCGGGTCTGTGGGCTCTGCAGCCCTAAGGTGTGCCTCTGATGCAGCGTCCGCTGGCTGCCCAATCCTGCCGCCACTGCGCTGGCCCCGGGGAAGCCCTGTGCAGTCAGCTCTGTGGCCTCCCGGTGACAGCTCTCCAGATACTCGGTGACTGGCTCCGGGCCCAGGTACTCCAGGCACTCACTGCACTGCTGCATCCATCCATCCACCTGCGTGGCAAAGGAGGGCACTGGTCAGGGCAGTGGAGGACTGTCTCAGCCACCATGGCCTTGACAGCCCCACCCAATCTCATGCACCTGATGAGCAGCTCAAGTAAACCTGCTCTGCAGATACCCCAGATCAAGGACCAGGGTGAGCCAGATGGCCAGAGCAAGAGGAAGACCCCTCCGCCCACAGAGGCAGCTACCAGCCAGACTCGCCCCAAGGGCAGGCAAGATGAGTTTGCACCTGAGCCCAATGAGGTCTGAATCCTCCACGGTCCCCAAGAACAGCAGGTGGGGCTGTCCCAGGGCCGTGAGATACCAGGCTGGACAGACCATGAAATCAATTAGTCCATACTTTGGCCTGGTGTGGGAGGCCATGACAGTGGGGCAGAGAGTTCCTACCCCTACGCTGGCCTTCCCTGAACCCCTGGATCCCATCAAGAGGAGCCGTGCTGCTGGGGGCTCTGGAGTGCAGGCAACTCTGGGGTGCTGGTGAGTTTGCAGGCCTGTGCTGGGCTGCAGCGACTGTCCTGGGGTCTCTGGCAACAAGTGGACTTTAATAGCAGAGCTGGTAAACACAGAAAAGTTCACGTGTTCATTTTGCTTGTCCTTTGGGACAATGAATAAATTCCTCATACAGTGGCTGAGAGCCTGGAGCGTGGTGCCGGGGTGTGCTGGCCAGGGCGGCTGGGCTCACTCTCAGGCCTGCAGGGACAACACTCACTGAATGTCCATAGCACATGCAGATCCCCTGGAGGCGATTCCACTGGGTCTCTTAGCGCCTCGTAGAAGTCAGACAGGTGGGCCCATCGGGCCAGTACTCCCTCCCTGCACTCAGCCTGGCTGGCCATGGTGCTCAAGCACCTTTTGAAGGCCCAGATCGCTTCCTCTGTGCCTTGGGAGCTGTTCTCCACCAGCTGCAGCCTTTTCTGACAAGACTGCTGTAGCCCAAGGAACAAACTACCAGCACAAGCCCGGTGCTTACTCTCTTTTTCTATGTGTGTCTTCCGGTGTGGACACACCATCAGCCTGTTGTGGAAGGTCTAGAGCTCCCATCACTGCCACATGTTCTCCAGACAGAGCAGCTCCAAGAGCCCAAGAATTTCTCTCCTCTTTCAAACCACAAATTGATTTATATAGGAAAGGAAGGCTTTATTTTTAAATGTGTGAAGGAGTCCGGTTCTATGATCGTGGGGAACAAAGGAAGCATCAGACATCACTTAGGGGCTGGCTTAACTGGTTCCCACAGCCCGCACAGCCGTCCCGACGCAAACAAACTGTGTGCTCGAATATACTGTAAGTGGCTACACAGCAATGAAAGCCACACTGTCTTGAGATCTGTAAGCGCTGTTTTTACCTACATGCCCCTTTCAGTCCGTGGATGGTTGAAGAGGGATGACCACAAGTCTCCATGGCCAAAGTGTGCAACTGGGCAGGCTGTTCGCAGGAAATGCAAATTAAGAACTTTCTGTTTTGAAACTTGTTACTATGCTAAGTATACCCCAGAAATATTCTTCGGGTGGTGGCACTAGGGTACTTGGGGGCAGTCTGGAAGAGCGGGACCAGCTGATGGCAGCCCTGCCTACCCCACACGGCTTCCCCTGGGGACATCACTCATTCACAGTGAACACATCAGGGGTTAAGACTTCATTTTCATGCAAGTTCTCATTGGATAGCAATGCCAGGGAGGCCTGGTTGTGAGGGGCCCAAGAAGAGGTTTTTAACAATGCAGTGATAGGGCTGGATCTGCAGCCACAGAACTGTACTTAGTGACCCTCATGCACAGGCAGAAGACAGAGAGCAGAGCACACACTCTGTGGACAGAGTCATAGAGAAAAATATCAAATCTGGGTTTTTACAAACACCAGCAGCCTGACAGCTTCTGGGTAGAAGAGTAGGAAATGGTCAACAGAGCAGGGACCTCTCAGGGGTGGAGTCCCACCTCTAATCTCATGAAAAAAGTTCTAGCTGGTTTCAAGATGTAAATGGAAAAATTCAAACCATAAAAGTCTTAGGATAGAATACATTAGTCATTCTGTGACCTTAAGGTAGAAAAGGTCATTTCAGTCATAAGCAAAATTGAAGGACAATGACAAACCGAGGAAAATATTTGCCATATAACCAGAGGGTCAGTGTGAGTAACAGGCATAATAGTGAAACTTCTGAGCTGTGGAAGTTGGTCAGTGTGTGGAAAAGTCATTGTTAGAGAATAAATACAAAAAGCCCACAGACAGATGAAGAAAAAGTTCAAATGTAGCATAAAAACTCCAAATGCAGTGATTAGGGACTTATTTTCCTGTCAGTGAGGAAGGGACGCTCTCAAGGCTGCGGCTGAGAATCTCAACTGGGCAGGCTGCTTGCAGGTCCATTTGGCAAATGTGTAAAAACCTCAGAAACGGCAAGCCCTAACCCAGCCATCCCAAGCCTAGGAACCTGTCCAAAGCAAACAATCACAAAGTGTGAAAGATGCAGGTGCAGTGATGTGTATAAGGGTGAGAAACAGGACAGCAGGGGACTTGAGCCAGAACCGAAGGAACACAGGGAGGTGCAGGCCTTCACACACCACCGTGCTTGCTGGCCATCCTGGGGACCCAGCCTCGGGATGCCCTGGCAGTGGCCATCCCCCCACCCTGACTGCCCCAAGGGACACACAGTCCTTCAGAGAAGGCCTCCAGACACTTCTGACCTTGCCCTACACTGACCACTGGCTGTGCCTGGGCTCCTGCTTCACATTCACTTATATGGGAATAGCAGTTGATAAAAGCATAAGGATTTAACTAGAAATATGTGCAAACTTTTGAAAAGCTTTTATATGCATATGTATATGGAAAAAATGTCTGGATTATAATATATTGCAATAACAGTAGTTATTTCAAGAGCAGAGTTTCAAAATGTTTTTCTCCTTTGGCTTCTCTGGAATACTTACCTGGCCTTGTCCCTCCTGGAGCATCCTCCCTTCCCGGAGCCTCTCCAGCTCCTGCAGACACCTATTGGAGGCGAGGACAAGCTGATGGACCTCTTCATCCATTTGGTTGTACAGCCTGGAGGCGACCTCAATGGCATCCCTGGAAGAGAAAGTGTCAGAAAGCCAAATCCTGACCTCTAGTTGTTTAGAGGCAATCACCTGAGGAATATGCAGTCAGTGACAACCTTGTTAAAAAAGCACAACTGCACTCTTTTGCCTCCCTTCCATCTGACACAAACGGAAGGCTCCAAGGAAGACATGCCTGGAGCCACAGGTGCAGGTGCCTCAGAGGTGGTAGGGAAAAGTGAGCGTGTGGGCATGGCACCCCAGGACAGAATTAGACAGAGAAGCATTCAATCGGGACCTCTGATGAATCCCATTATGATGAGTTTTGCCTTCCACTTGAGCATTCCAAGGAATCTGCTACTTTTTTTGGAGGATACAGATGTAGATAGGCTCCAGTCCAAAGTGTGCCCATCAGAAAGAACAGAGGTTTGGACCCCTGGGAGACGCTGCATGTGAGAGAAATGGGCATCACCCCTGGGATGGGCAGCCCCTGCATGACACTCACCGGCAGTCTTGGCTGGTGCCAAGCTGCTCCCTCCTCAGCTGCGCCAGCACGGTACCACCCTCTAGCCGGAGGGCGACCAGCAGTGCGTCTTCCAGCACACAATTCATTGTTGCTTTATGCTTGCTGATTAAGTCTGTGACCTCCTGCGTGGAGTGGGAGAAGCATGCATAGAACCCTCCCCTCCATGGGGAGTGTTAGGTGGGACCTGCATTCCTGTGTTTATCAATCAAGCTGAGAGTAGGGTGCCATGGCCGAACCCACACTTGACGCCTGTCACGGCAAGGAGGTAGTGGAGTCCTAGATGCTCTCACCCAAGAGATGGGTGAGATTAAGGAGGGGAGAAAGGAGGGGAGTTTGGAAGTTGGCAGCAGGAGGAAAGCCTGGCATTTGGACAGGGATGTGTGGGCCTTGCTCACGTATCCTGTAAACCCTGAGGTGTCTCCAGCCCCAGGTCTCTAGGCTGCTGATTTTCCTCCAGCCAGTCCACCTCTGTGTCCCAGCAGTAATTACTCAAGCCTCGGTGGCACACCAACAAATGCAGTGGTTGTGGTGGTATTTCTCTTCTGGGCATGGTGGGATTTTTTGTTTGTTTGTTTGTTTGTTTTGGTCATGGGGAAGAAGTGGTCTTTTGGAAGTCCTTTGCTAATTGAAAGGAATTTACAAGTCAAAAAGGGTTTGAAAATTTCTGCTATGGATGATAGATTTGGCTAAACCTCTATGTTCCCACCTACCTACCTGTGAAACAAAAAAAAATACAGGAGAACCTACCTGTACTGTGCTTAGAGTCCTGTGGGTATTCAGAGAGTGGACTGAATTTTGTAGGAAAACAATGGCATTCTCACAATTTGTGGTGAAGGGCTCCAGCTTCTATCATGGTGGGAGAGGTAGGAGATGACAGACACACTGTTAGTATCCACAGAAGCGCTGGGGAGCAGCACCCTCCCTGCCCAGAGCTGGACTTCAACAGCACTCCCAAGCCCACCACAGTGTGGATCTCCAACAGCCTGGGAATGGCAGCTGTGATGGGCACGACATTCGGGGCAGGGACACCTGTTTCAGGTGTGAGTAAAAACATCTGCATAAGGAGAAGTCCCAGGAGACTGGCAGGTGCAGCAGCTTTACCTTACCCTACGGAAGCAGATCCAGTCACTGTGGCTGTAGGGAAAGGAGCCATCGAGGTCTGCGGTCAGCTGCGAGCTGTCAACAAGCTTGTGCAAGGCCTTCAGGGAGCCCACCACCTCACACTGCCAAGGAGAAGCATTCACTGGTTACGGCCACAGATGCATCCATCAGAAAGACCACTGTGATGGCTCACTCCAGGGAGAACTACCACCGAGAGGGTGGAGAGACAGGTTTAGGGTCCAGTGACCCTGCTGATGTGGCTGGGTACAGAAATGAAGTTGGGGAGAAGTGAAAGGAAAAGGTAGCAAAGAGAAATGACAGAAAGGTTCCAAATAAGACCAAAAAATGGAAAAATTGAAAAGGGAGAGAAGGCAAGAAGATAGGGGAGGAAGGGAAGAAGAATAAATCAAGGATGTGCTACTCCGAGATGGCAGAGTTGGCCCTGCCCAGACAACTTGGGACGAGGTAGGACAACAAGCAACTGAAAGCTCCAGAGGGCAAACAAAGTCAGGCTCGCTGAGGAGGGCCACTGGAACATGGATGAGGGGAGCAGCATGGGGTGAGCTCTCCCCTTTGCTTGGCTCTGGCCTGAAGGCAGGATGCCAACACGGGAGACTGGATTGACTGAGGCTCTGGTGGAAAACAGGCATCTTTCTGGCCTGAAGAACCAGAAAATAGAGCTGGGTTGGAATGTAGACATCGAGTTCCACAAGGGAGAAAGCCAGGGGAAAGGAGCTTCAGTGGTGTGTAAACTGTGCCCAGGACTCTGGCTGACCCTGAACCATGTATGCATGGGGAAGACTCTGGGTAGCTAAAGGCAAAAAGAACTGAACTGGACGTACACAGGGGAGAGTTTTCAGTTTGAGTCCAACCAAGTTAAATGCATTTCAAAACAGTCCACTGTGGAGGTTTATAATAGAATCTAGAGTCAGCATAGTCAACGTTATTCAACAGAATATTCACATGTCCAGAATACAATCCCAAATTACTTGACACATGAAGAATCAGGAAAATGTGACTCATTCTCAAGGGAAATGACAGTCAACAGAGGTCAACCCAGAAAAGACCTGGATGTTGTAATTATTAGACAAGGACTTTAAAGCAGTGGTCATAACTATGTTCAATGATGTAAAGGAAAAATGCTTGCAATGACTGAGAGAATAGGAAATCTTAGTAGAGCAGAGAAAATATATGTTTAAAACCACTGGGTGTTTTATAGTTGAAAAATATAATATCTGAACTAAAAAATATCACTAGATAGGCTTAATAGCTGAATGGAGATGAATAGAGTATGGAGTTAGTAACTTTGAAGATACAGCAATAGAAACAATCTGATCTGAAGAGAGAGAAAATAAGTGGGAGAAAAATGATTCTCCAAGACCAATGGGGTAAGATCACTTGGGGAGGAGTTAAGATGACGAAGTAGCAGGACGATCTTATGCTTGCCTCATCCCTCGAACACAGCTAGGTAATTATCAAATAATTTTGAACACCCAGGATATGAATCTGAGGATGGAGAGAACAAACTGCACAACTAGCTGGAGAGAAGAGGCCACATTGTGAAAGGTAGGAGGTACAGAGACACGTGATTTGGGGGAGAAAAGAACTGTGAGCACTGCAGAGGAGACAGAACTCTGATCACGGAGACAGAAAAGAAAGAGATAAAGGAGCACGCAGGGAACTACACAAGAAAAACACTTCCCCAAAACCACTGACTGGGAAAATGAGAGGGGCTGATTATTGCCAAGTTTTTATACGCAGTGGAACTGAAAGTCTGAAATTTTAGAAGTCTGCATGATTGCCAGGGTTAAGCCTGGTGGACATAGTGGTGCTCCTGTGGAGAAGGGGGGCAGAGGCCCAGGACCACAGAGCACGATTCCCTGGGTCGCACTGGGAGAGACAGTTCCCCTTCTTGGAGTGCATTTGGGAGAGGCGGCACTGCCTCTCTAGGGACAAAAGAGCCTGTGGGCACCATAGAGCTGCCCCATTCATTAGCATAGAGCAGAAATGTCTGCTGAGGGCAGCTAACCTGGATGCCGGCTCTTTGCTACACTTTACCATAAAATCCAAGCTCCTGTGCAGTTGTGCAGCTGCTTTTCTGGGACACAAGGCACCAGCCACAGTGTGGCGAGACCCTCCCCCAGAGTACCCACTTGGTTCTGCACCATGCCAGGTCCCTAAAATTTGGAATTCTGAAACCCAGCCGCAAGCCTGAGATAAAACATGGGAGCACTGCGCCACTGAGCAGGCAGACAGCTCTGACACAGACAGGGTGAAGGCTGGAAACTGATGGGAGCCTGGGACACAAAATGGGAGATTGTTTGCTCTTCTGTGAGGGTGTCCTGAACAGCAGGGGTGCAAACTCCCCTCTCTGGGGAAGAGAGAGGGCCAACACTATTTTTCACCCCTCCCATCAGCATGGACAGACTTCAGCAAGCGGCACAGTGCACACAGCAGAGGCTTGAGCCGCTTACACCAAGCTCTGCTCCCCGGTGCTCTGCCTTTTTAACCCTGTGCAGGTGCCTTTTTAATGACAGCAAGTATAATTGAGAGCCAGAGTGGCAGTGGGCCCCTCCCCTAGAAGACTAGCACAGATCCCTTGCATGCACCAGGTCTTCTGACCAAAGTGCTGCAAAGCTTCAGCTCTAACGGAAACAGGACTAGGCACAGGCTTTCCTAATTCACAAAAGACAGAGGCCTAGACAAAATGCGAGATGGAGGAATTCATCCCAAAAGGAAGAATGAGAAGAGGTCACCGCTAGGGAACTAATCAAAATAGATACAAGTACTACCCCTGAACCAGAATTTAAAACAACAATCATAAGGATACTAGCTGGGCTTGAGAAAAGCATACAAGACAGCAGAGAAACCCTGGCTGCAGAGATAAAAGACCTAAAAACAACTCAGGCTGAAATAAAAAATGCTATAACTTAGATGCAAAACCAACTAGATGTAATGACCACAAGAATGGAAGAACAGAGGAATGAATAAGTGATATAAAAGATAAAATTATGGAAAATAATGAAGCTGAAAAGAAGAGGGAAAGAAAAATATTGGGTCATGAATGTAGACTTAGGGAACTCAGTGACTCCATAAAGTGTAATAACAGTCAGTCCCAGAAGAAGAGAGGGGAAAAAGGGGCAGAAGGTTTATTTGAGCAAGTTATAGCTGAAAACTTCCCTTATCTGGGGAAGGAAACAGACATCCAAATCCAGGAGACACAGAAAACGCCCATCAAAATCAACAAAAGCTGGCCAATACCAAGAGATATTGTAGTAAAATTTGCAAAATGCAGAGATAAGGAAAGGAAAGAATCCTGAGAGCAGCAAGAGAAAAGAAGTCCTTAACTTACAAGGGTAGACAAATCACGGTAGCAGTAGATCTCTTCAAAGAAACCTGGCAGGTCAGAAGACAGTGGCCTGATATATTCAACATGCTGAATGGGAAAAATATGCGGCCAAGAATACTTTATCCAGCAAGGCTGTCATTCAGAGTAGGAGAGAGAAAAAACTTCCCAGGCAAACAAAAACTAAAGGAGTTCATGACCACTAAACCAGCCCTGCAAGAAATATTAAAGGGAACTCTTTGAGTGGGAAGGACCAAAAGCAATGAAGACTAGAAAGGTAAGAGAAAATCTCCAGAAACAACAACTTTACAAGTAATACAATGGCACGAAATTCATATCTATCAATAATCAATCAATAATACACTCTGAATGTAAATGGACTAAATGCTCCAATCAAAAGATGTAGGGTATCAGAAGGGATTAAAAAAAAAAACCAAACAAACAAAAACCAAGATCCATCTATATGTTGCCTATAAGAAACTCATTTTAGACCTAAAGACACCTGCAGATTGAAAGTGAGGGGGTGGAGAACCATCTAGCATGCTAACGGACATCAAAAGAAAGCCAGAGTAGCCATCCTCGTATCAGACAAACTAGATTTTAAACCAAAGACTGTAACAAGAGAAGAAGGGCACTATATCCTAATAAAGGGGACAATTCAACCAGAAGATCAGAAGATCCAACAACTGTAAATATTTATAGCCCTAACTTGGAAGCATCCAAATATATACAACAATTAACAATGAACATAAAGGAACTCATTGATAATAATTCAATAATGGTAGGGGACTTTAGCACCCCACTTACAGCAATGGACAGATCATCTAAGCAGAAAATCAACAAGGAAACAATGGCTTTGAATGACACACTGGCCCATATGGACTTCACAGATACATTTAGAACATTTCATCCTAAAGCAGCAGAATACACGTTCTTTTTGAGTACACATGGGATATTTTCCAGAACAGATCACATACTAGGTCACAAATCAAGTCTCAACAAGTATAAAAAGATCGAGATCACACCATGCGTATTTTCTGACCACAACACTATGAAACTTGAAGTCAATCACAAGAAAAAATCTGGAAAGACCACAAATACATGGAGGTTAAAGAACATTCTACTAAGCAATGAATGGGTAAACCAGGAAATCAAAGAAGAAATAAAAAAATACATGGAAACAAATGAAAATGAAAACATATGGTCCAAAACCTTTGGGATGCAGCAAATGGTTCTAAGAGGGAAGTATATAGCAATACAGGCCTTCCTCAAGAAGCAAAAAAAATCTCAAATACACAACCTAACCTTCCACCTGAAAGAGCTAGAAAATGAACAACAAATGAAGCCTAAAGCCAGCAGAGAAGGGCAATGATAAAGATTCGAGCAAAAATAAGTGATAGAGAAACAAACAAAACAGTAAAACAGATCAATTAAACCAGGAACTGGTTCTTTGAAAAAAAATCAATAAAATGATAAATCCCTAGTCAGACTCATAAAAAAACAAAAACAAAAACAAAAAAACCAAAACAACAAACAAACAAGAGAGAGAGAGAAAGGGACCCAAAAAATAAAAGCACAAATGAGAGAGGAGAAAGAAACCCCACAGAAATACAAACAACAGAACATTATGAAAAACTATATGCCAACAAATTAACAACCTAGAAGAAATGGATAAACTCCTAACAACCTACCAAAGCTACCAAAACTGAAACAGGAAGAAACAGGAAATTTGAACAGACCCATAACCAGCAAAGAAATTGAATCAGTAATAAAAATCTCCCAACAAACAAAAGTCCAGGACAGATGACTACACAAGCGAATTCTACCGACATTTAAAAAAGAGTTAATACCTATTCTTTTCAAACTATTTCAAAAAATAAAAAAGGACAGAAAACTTCCAAATCCATTCTGTGAGGCCAGTATCACCCTGATACCAAAACCGGATAAAGATACCACTAAAAAAGAGAACTACAGGCCAGTATCCCTGAGGAACATGGATGCAATAATTCTCAACAAAACACTAGCAAACTGAACCCAACAATACATTAAAAAAATCATTCACTATGATCAAGTGGGATTTATTCAATATAAAGGATGGTTCAATATTTGCAAATCAATCAGCATGAGATAGCACATCAATAAGAGAAAGGATAAAAACCATGTGATTATTTCAATAGAAGCAGAAAAAGCATTTGACAAAGTACAAAATCCATTCATGATAAAACCCTCAACAAGTTAGGTTTAGAGGGAACATACCTCAACATAATAAAGACCATATATGAAAAACCCACAGTAAACATCTACTTCAATGGGGGAAAACTGAGAGCTTTTCCTCTACAGTGAGGAACAAGACAGGGGTGTGCAGTCTCACCACTGTTATTCAACATAGTCTGGAAGTCCTAGCCACAGCAATCAGACAAGAAAAAGAAATAAAAAGTATCCAAATCAGCAAGGAAGGAGTTAAACTCTCACTATTTGCAGATGACATGATACTCTATATAGAAAACCCAAAAGACTCTGCCAAAAAACTGCTAGAACACAAATTCAGTAAAGTCACAGGATACAAAATCAATGTACAGAAATCCTGTTGCATTTCTACACACAAATAATGAAGTAGCAGAAAGAGAAATTAAGGAATTAATCCCATTTATAATTGCACCGAAAATAATAAGACACTTAGGAATAAACCTAACCAAAGAGGTGAAAGACCTGTACTCTGAAAACTATAAAACACAGATGAAAGAAATTAAAGATGACACAAAGAAATGGAAAAACATTCCATGCTTATGGATTGAAAAACAAGTATCATTAAAATGTCCATACTAACCAAAGCAATCTACACATTTAATGCAATCCCTATAAAAATACCATGAGCATTCTTCACAGAACTGAACAATCGTAAAATTTGTATGGAACCACAAAAGACCCCAAATAGCCAAAGCAACCTTGAAAAAGAAAAGCAAAGCTAGAAGCATCATAATTCTGAACTTCAAGTTATATTACAAAGCCATAGTAATCAAAACAGTATGGTACTGGCACAAAAATGGACACATGGGATCAATGGAACAGAACAGAAAACCCAGAAATGGACCCACAACTATAAGGTCAACTAATCTACCAGAAAGCAGGAAAGATATCTATTGGATAAAAGTCTCTTCAACAAATGCTGTTGGGAAAACTGGACAACAATATGCAAAAGAATGAAACTAGACCGCTTCTTACACCATACACAAAAGTAAACTCTAAGTGGATAAAAGAACTAATGTGAGACCTGAAACCATAAAAATCCTAGAAGAGAGCACAGGCAGTAACCTCTCTGACATCTGCCATAACAACCTGTTTCTAGATATGTCTCCTGAAATAAGGGAAATAAAACCAAAAATAAATTATTGGGACTTTATCAAAATAAAAAGCTTCTGCACAGTAAAGGAAACAACCAACAAAACTAAAAGGCAACTCACAGAGTAGGAAAAGATATTTGCAAATGACATCTCTGATTAAAGGGTTAGTATCCAAAATAAATAAAGAACTTAAAAAGTCAACACACCAAAAAACAAATAATCCAATTGAAAAATGGGCAGAAGTTACAAACAGACATTTTTTCAAAGAAGATATCCAGATGGCTAACAGACATATGAAAAGATGCTCAACATTACCTATCATCAGGGAAATACAAATGAAAACCACAGTGAGGTATCACCTCACACCTGTCAGAATGGCTAAAATCAAACAACACAAGAAACAACAGGTGTTGGCAAGGATTTGGAGAAAGGGGAACCCTTGTGCACTGTTGGTGGGAGTGCAGCCACTCCGGAGAACAGTATGGAGGTTCTTCAGATGGTTAAAAATACAACTACCCTACCATCCAGCAATTGCACTACTGGGTATTTACCCAAAGGATACAAAAATACTAATTCAAAGGGATACATGCAACCTGATGTTTATAGCAGCATTATCAATAATAGCCAAACTATGGAAAGAGGCCAAATGTCCACCAACTGATGAATGGATAAAGAAGATGTGGTACATATATACAATAGAATATTACTCAGCCATCAAAAAATATGAAATCTTGCCATTTGCAATGATGTGGATAGAGCTAGAGAGTTTATGCTAAGCAAAATAAATCAGTCAGAGAAAGACAGATATCACACGATTTCACTCACATGTGGAATTTAAGAAACAAAACAGATGAACATAGGGGAAGTGAGGGAGCCAAACCATAAGAGACTCTTAACAACAGAGAACACATGGAGGGTTGATGGAGGGAGGTGGGTGGTGGATGGGCCAGATGGGGGATGGGTATTAAGGATGACACTTGTTATGATGAGCACTGGGTGTTGTATATAAGTGATGAATCACTGAATTCTACTCCTAACACCAATATTGCACTGTATGTTAACTAGAATTTAAATAAAAATTTGGAAAAAATAAAATTAGATTGTGGGAACAGTTGCACAACTCCATGCATATACTAAAAATCATTGATGTGGTTTGATAAATGATTTGTATGAGACATCAATTATATCTCAGTAAAGTTGTTTTTGAAAAGAAAGAAAGAGAAAGAAAACTTCTAGACTATCACTTCCTTAAATTCCAAAAAGTGCAATAAAGAGTGAAAAACAAAAAAAGACCTATGGGGCAATATCAGTGTGTGTAATTGAAATCCCAGGGGGACAAGGGACGAGAATGAGGCAGAAAAAAGCACTTCAAGAAATAATGAATGAAAATTTCCTGAATTTAGTGATAGACATAAATTTAAAAATTCAAGTTCAGCCCAACCTAAGAGGATAAAGATGAAGAGAACCATGCCTAGTCACGTTACAGTCAATTTGCTGAAAACAAAGAGAAAATTTTGGAAGTAACCAAAGGAAAATGACACATTTTCTATAGATGAACAATTATTTGAATTCCAACAAACTTTTCATCAGAAACTATGGAGGCAAAACCACCATTTTGCAGTTAAAAAAACAGGGGTAGGGGAGAAAGTATGGAGGCCAGAAGACAACGGAACAACACCCTTAAAGTGCTGGAAAAACAAACGAAAACCTGCTGCAAGCCAGAATTCTATATCTAGCAAAAAATCCTTCAAGAATGAAGGCAAAATAAAGAGTTTTTAGATAAAAGAGAAAGAAGAGGATTTGAGAAAGCAAATGAGGTGGAGAAGAAAAATTAGATTTTTAAAGGTTTTCTGATATTACCCTCTTTAGGGTCCTGCAAAAACTTAAGGGATCGGTGATGGGTTTTCAGGCTCTTATATGGATGCAGCCAGAATTCACATAAGGTTTTTGCTATGTTTTATCTCATCTACGTGTCCTAACATTTAATTTTATGCATCACCCAGAGTCATATCTAACCCTGAGGGTCTACAACCATTACCTGAATTGTTCTGTCCTTGTCAGGCCTAAATCCTGATTCTTTATTCACCAACAACACAATACTATGAATTATGGGAGGAGATGTGTTCTGAAATAAGAAAGAAATACCAATTAGCTTTGTAATTTTTAACTTCATTGACTCAATAGAATTGTCTAACTTTAAGGGGTGCTACTTCTGCTTTGATATTGTCCCCAAGTACCTAGAATGCATAAAATGTAACCGTCTTTGCTCTAAATGGACATTATTTCATCTTATAAATTTTAATGTAATCAAGTTTATTGGTTATAATTTACATATATTAAAATTCACCCTTTTAAATACAGAGTTCTCTAAATTTTGACAGAACTTCTAGTCATGGACCCACCATCGCAGTCAAGATGTATACAACAGTTTAGCATCCCCCGATTTCCTCATGCTCCTTTGCCAAGCCCACCAGCCTCTGGCGACTACTGATCGGTTTTCTCTGTGCATAAATTTGCCTTTTTCGGATATCATACACATGGACTTACCCAATACTGGCTTCTTTCACAGTGCATTCACGATTTACCCATGCTATGGAGGTTCCTAGATCACCCCTTTCTATTGCCAAGGAGGAGCTTGCAGGCACTGCAACTCATTCACCCACTCACCAGCTAGAGGACATCTGGGTCATTTCCAGTTTGTGGCAACCATAAACAAAGCCACTATAAACTCTATGTAGATGTAAGTTTTCATTTCTCTTGGGTAAATATCTAGCAGTAGGATTGCTGGATCACATGGTAAATGCATTCTAACGTCTGAAGAAACTGGAGTGGTTGTGCCATTTTGCATTTCCACGAGCAATACTGAGGCCTTGCTACTGTCAAGTTTTGTTGTGTTATCTCATTTTGGTTACAAGTTGTATTTCTCCAATGACTACTGATGTTGAACATATGTTTATGTGCTTCTCTGCCATTCACATATCTTTTTTTTGGTCAAGTGTGTTCAAATCTTTGCTGGTATTTCATTGGGTTGTTTGTCTTATTGCTGAGTTTTGGGATTTTGTATATTCCAGATACAGGTCCTTTATCAGATCTGTGTTTTGCACACATTTTCTCCCAACTCCTGGCTTGTATTTTCATTTTAGTGACAGTGGCTTTTGAGGGAAAGTTTTCAATTTTGATGAAGTCCACCTTGTCATGGTTTTCTTTTATAGATCATGGTGTTGGTGTGTCATAGCTAAGAAATCTTTTCTGACCAAGGTCATGAAGATTTTCTCCTGTTTCCTTCTGGTGGTTTTGCAGTCTTAGTTTGTGCATGCAGGTCGGGGACCCACTTGTAATTTTTGTATATAGTATGAGGTATGTGTGCTCTGTTGGAGTTCCAACCCTGTTGGTTTTGGGGTTTTTTTTGACATGTTTTATGACTTTAAACAAGTCTCCTTGATTTCTGTTTGCTAGAGTACATTGAGGCCAGGTCATTCAGCAATAAAATTATTTTATTTACCTAGTGCTTGCTTCTTCACTCATATTTTCTAAAGCTTTACTTTTTAAGTTTCTTGTAGTGATAGACATATTTTAGGCTTTTTGTAATCCCCAATGTTGATCCCCTATTTTGACTGAATAGGCCTCAGAAATAACTGATACTTTATTTGTATTAATTGTGTATATTTACATTTTTGTTATGTGGCTTCTTGTGGATAACCTTCCATAAATATTCATTTAATGAATAAGCCATAGAAAAACACATAGAAAAAACATTCTTGCTTTTTTATTTGAGTCATTTTCTATTTCTCTCACCCAGTGTAGGTAAAATTTTCAGTTACCATGAATTAAAACTACACAGTTTTGCAGTGTCTTATATTTCTCATATATTCCTACTTGAGTGGTTTTTTTACTATTAGGATTTGTTGCTATTGATAAGAAGATGGATGTTAGTTTTCAGACGAGTGAAAACACAGTTTGTGCCTTAGGATGAGTATCCACATCAGTGTGTAGAAGTTGTGTGTTATGCGTGGGGTAGGGATGAGTAATTCTTAGCATTTTCTTCCACCAAGAAATGAAAAAAATCATTTTCTTTTTGAAATGGAAAGTTTCTTATCTGAACTTTAATAATAAATTTGAAGTATAGTCACTTGAGGTAGTTATGAGAGTTCTATTTTTTGCCCTCTATGAAAAAATTTAACTACTTCTGCATATTCCTCAGAAATAAAACTGAAAATGAAACATGACCCTTAAATTCGGCTTATTTCCACTCCTCTCACTGGGATTACAGATCCTGCTGTTGCATGAGCCAAAGCCAGGGTGGCGGGAGACCACCACCTGAAGGAGAAGCAGTGAGACCTCATGGCAATCTGAATGCCAACATCCAGACGACGGAACAGAGTGGATTTCTTGAAGTTCCTTCGAAGATTCACTTGTGATAAAAACTTAAAGATGCAGCAGGTGTTTCTCCTGCTTCTGCTCTGGGAGAAGTGTGGGTAAGAGGGACCATCTTACTCAGGGCTCGTTCTACCACTGTGGGACCCAAGTGGCACAGGACTTAAGGGAAGCCTGAACAAACAGAAGTGCTGGGAAGGGGTGTTCTTACAAAGCAAAAAGGTACGTGGTTCTGGTCGGCAGCTGAGGGGCTCTTGGGCCATATGTGGGGCCTGCCTGGGTCTCACACACAGTGGCCCGAGTGGTTGCTAAGTGTGTGCATTAACAGGGAGGGCTCAGTCATCTCTCTTTGAGGCTGGACACTTAATTTTCAAGTTTTTACTGGATGCCAAAGAAGTAGAAGCCACCACAGTCCTCTGGCTTCAGGAAATTCCTGCAAAGCATGCAGACATGCATCAGTGTCCTCCAGGTTGTATGAGCAAACAGGGTTATGGCAACACGCACACAGCACAGTGCAGTGAGGGAGCCCATGGGCAGCTGCATGCTCGGCTTTCTTCCTGGTGCCCAAGTAACCTCCCAAGAGGCCAGTGCCACGCTGGGCATGTGTCAGGGAGTGAAGGTGGTGATACCCGTCCATGCCAGCCCCACTCTGGGCACCAGGCCTCAGCATGTGCCTGCCTGGGTGTCTGCCAACGTTCCTGCCCTGCAGTCTGCACCTCGTTGCTCAGTCTGGGTCCCGGAATGACAATGCGCTCTCAGAGTTCCTCGAGCCCCTTACTGGGAAAGGTCCCCAGCGAGCCTCCATGGGACTCACAAGGCTCTGGCCACCTGCTGGCCTGGGAGGGTGTCGTCCTGGGTTCTGCAGCAAGTCACTGGGTTCCCTGCTTCCCCTGAAAACAAATTTCAAGCCCTCCTCATTCCAAAACTTCTCCAGGGCAGCAATGACAAAAGTGACTGGCATGAGCACCATTTGCCAGGGCTGGCAAAGGGTCTGAGGCCTGCAGATGGGGGCTGAGAAGCAGGGCCGCTCCCTCACAGGCCACCCCAGGGCTGAAGGTGGAAGAAACTGGGAGGAGAGGAGAGCAGCAGGGAGGCCGAGGAAGAGGGATGCTCCTACACGCACGCTCTGTGGTGCGCAGCGCGGGCCCAGCGCTCTGGAGGGTCTGGAGGTGCGGACGGACCAGGCTGGCCAACTGGGCCACACACCCTCCTCGTGGAGGTGAGCTGTTCCCAACGGGTACATGAAGCGGGCAGAATGGTTTCTAGGAATCTGGTCACAAGTTCTGGTTGCAGCTTCAAAATCATTTCAGCAACAGCAACAATTACATTTGGTTTTGAAGGCAGAAATAAAGGAAAATTGTTTTTCTTCCATGTTTATAGGGTGCTGAGACGACTGGTGTGAGGCGACCACATTAAACAGCTGCTCTGAGGGGCGTGCGTCTGAAACACAAACAAACCCCACCCTCCCGTCCACTGTGGGTACTGGGACCGGGCCTCCAGATTTAACAGCTTCCTCCTGTGAATTCACAGGACTCCGAGGAAGTCCTGATGTCACCGATGCCGCTGTCCTCCTCTGAGCAGAGCTTCCTTCAAAATCTGTTGGAAAAGCAGTCATCCCCCTACTTTCCGGAAGACTTCCAGTAACTTCCCAGTCTTTGCTGGTCTATAAAATTGCATGTGGTCAGGAAAAACCAGAATCGCAAAGGAATTTCGAAGCCCACACAGAATACGAGCATCAAACGGGATGACATCCTGGTTGCTGATTTTTGAGCCCAAAAGCTGGCTGAGAGCAGGGGAAATGAGCAATAAGGGATTCATGTGCCTCTGAGGTGCTTCGTGGAAACTGAGTGTTGGCACGTCAAGGCTGCCGTTCCGTGTTAGAGGTGCTAACTCGGGCTTTGAAGCTATGTACTGTGAACCCTTCTGCTGAAAGCACATTTCTCCCTCTGAAATGCAGACCTCACCACTGAGTTCAGCTCTGAGAGCCCACTCGTGCTGGGACGGCACATCTGGGTCAGCCCTTCCCCCTCAGGAATCTGCACCTTCACCTCTGTGTCAGACAGGAATCGCACCACAGCCAGGCACCCTGACCAGGGTTGCCTACTCCTGCTGACCTGGACCACTTCTGCCTGGCCTCCCCCAGCCCCGGCCCCACTCACAGCCTGCCTGCCGGGGGCTCTTCTCTCCTTTCCCCCCACGCTGTTCTCCAGCTTCTCGAGTGCATCCAGATGTGCCCCAACCTCCACCACCGAGTCCGCCCTTGAAAGAACTTCCATTTGGCGTCCCTAAACTTAGGAACCTGGATAGAATGGTGACCGGTGTCTGGCACCTTTAGCAGAGACCAAACAGAGGGAACAGGTTTTCACTGAGGGAGAAGGTGGGACCCCAGACTCCAGCACAGGGCTTGGCACATGAGGGCCCCCATATACACATGTCTGAGGGACCGTGAGCGTTCTCAGGCTCCCACCTGGCCCTGGGTCCCTGGAGCATCCCAATGGTGACTTTCTCCCTGTTCCAAGGACTCCCCATTTCCCTCTTGATTTTACTCATGACCCAAAATCCAGGATCAGGTCTTCCTGGGGCGACTGCAAACCTGCCAGACAACCTCCCTTGACCTCGCCCCAGAGGTACAGTAGCTACCATACCTGCTCCAAGGTACAGGCCCTCCTCCCCACAGTGTCCACACCTCCGTCCCTGTCTGAGAAAGTGCAGCGTGTAGCCCTGCACGCTGATTTAGTCAGACACTAGATAAGGACAGCTGTGGAGGGAAAGTGTCATGCCCATGTGGGCTGGTCCTGGTTGACCCTGCCTTTAAGGTATGCAGTGGCGACCCAGGAGATGGGCAGGAAGCTCCTTCCTGGTGACTGTGTCCGACCACGGGGGAGCACATTGTTGATGGATGCAGGAGCAGGCTCTTCTTCTGCTACTTTCCACGTCCACACTCAGGACCCTCACCTCATCCTGAGATTGATTCACAGTGGGGCTGAGTCCAGGCATGGCTGCCCTCAGCTGCTCCTGGGTCATGAGGGAGCCCTGAGATGCTCGGTGCCCTGAGGACAGGAGTCACCCTGACTCACCTGCAGTGCTGCCAGAGCCTGGAAGAGAGTAGGGGCAGCTGGACCCTTGCGAGCATCCACCAGGATGACCAGCCCCAGCTCGCGCACCTCTTTCCTGGGGAGAGAGACAGACAGTGTTAACCACTGCAGGTAAGATCTCTTCCATGACAGGCTTCTTTGTCTCTCGGTGAGATGCACCCTTTGCCCAGATGCCCTTGGCTCCACAAATTCTTGACACATATCAACCTTCTGCTTCCTGAGGACTCTAGCTGCTTACCAGGTGCAGACAGGGCAGTTGGGTTCACTGTGGTGGATCAGTCCTGTCTGATGGCCTCTCCAGGCAAGGGAAGCTGGCTGCATGCTTGTATTTGCTGTGGCTGCTTTCTCTCCCACACCGCCCATCACAGAGCAGAGGCCCTGGAGCTTTCTTGTGCTAGGTCGCTTGTTCCGGCTGTAATACCATGTGGAATTCTACTCTGATGGAGTGGACAAGAGCCAGACGTGGCCAGCTGATCTCAGGACTGCAACTCCAGGCCAATCATTGGGTTTACCACATTTCCAGAGCTCAAGTGGGACAGCAGAACATCCTCTAAAGGTGAAAATACTGTCAGGTGCTTGTCACGCCCCTGCATAAAAGCTCTGTCCCTACTGTGATCACGACTGTAAGTTCAGTTCTAAATAGGACCAAAATAATAAGCTAAGGCAGGGTGATGCATCCAACCCCACCTTCTGGGAGTGGCTAATACTCTACCTCAGCCACACGTGTGGGTGCTGGTCTTGAACAGACACGCATGCTCACCCTGGCCTGCTTGCACACAGCGGGGAGAGCCACATGTCGCACCAAAGCCACATCCTAGCCAAAAGGGCGAGTGTGCCCCCACAGTCAGCATGTGTTCAATTTCGGGTGTGACTGCTAAGGAATGCTTCTGAAGGGGGGGGGTGTCTCGGGGCAGAGTAGAGTGTGGTGTTCTGGTGTCAAAGCTGGACACAGAAAAGGTGAGGCCGGGAGAACGCCCCCATCTCACTCCCTCAGCTGGCCAGCTCTGCACCCAGGCCTCCTCTGCCACGGAAGCCGCTTTGTGACTGGTATGGCTTGAAGCGCTAGAGTCCACGTGTCTGGGAGCAGTCCTGGGCAGTGCTGTCAGGAGCTGAGCACAATACTCTACTTCCTCCAAGCGTCTTGTGTGCCTCCTGGTCCCCAGTGACCTCCCTCTTCTGACACCCCCACTCCTGGTCTCTCTTCACCCCTGGTCTCCCGTGGTCTCCCTGAATTTGTGTCTCAAGGTCTGCTTCCGGCCTCAGAGGCAGGACCGGTCTCACTGCCATACTGGCTGGTTCGGCATGGGAAATAATCCCTGTCAGCCCCAGACCCACACGTTCTCCTCCACCGATCTCATCCACTTGGTGGCTTTGCTGAAGGGGATGGCCGCAGAGGGGGGCTGCTTCCCAAGTTCAGAGACTGCTGGACCCTCCACCTGGGCTGGCTGAGAGGGATCCAATGACTGGAGTTCAGCTAGTATAGGATTAGACGGGAGAAAATGCCCTCAGGCCACCAAGCGGGGACCCCCCCCCCCCGGCCCCCGGCCCCAGACCAAACTTGCTTCTCTCCGCCTGCCTCCTGTGGTGGATGAAGCTGGCTGGCTCCCCTTGTTGGGCTCCAGTGGGGCCCCTGGCCATGTGCAGATCTGCCCTAGACACCCTGGGCCTGCATTTCTGCAGAAGTCTCACACTGTGTTCCTGCGTCACCCTGGCTTCACCACCGGAGGTCCACGTGGCCTTCAGGCCCAGGGTACCCACTGCCTGCACCGGGTCTTTAGTCCTCATTCCTGCCTCCTGACTCAGAAAGTGACTGGCTGCTCTGGGGCTCCGTGTGTGCTCTTCCTTCTGCTCAGGATGTCCTTCCCTTCTTGTCTGCAAATACTCACCGTCCTCAAGGACACAGACCACATCCGGAGATCCACCCTGCCACCCACCCTGGACGAGGCTGCAGCTCCCTCCCAGCATTGTGGGCTTGTCTTAAGCTGGAAGATGCAACAGTTTGGGTTCCCAGGTGTGTCCCTTTGAGGGTGGGAGCCATAGCCTGATCTTTTTGTACTCTCATGCAAGTGGTGGATGGATGGATGGATGGATGGATGGATGGATTCCTTCACTGCAGAGGAGGCTGGATGGATGACAGCCAAGATCCATTCTGATTTTAAGATTCTGTGTATGGGAGAGTTTGATGGGAGTCCATTTACAAGGCACGCTCCCAGGAACACATGGCCCTCTGTAATACAGCTGCAGTAACCGAAAACCAGACACTGCTGGGCACTCTCCCTAATAATTAATGCTGACAGCTTGGGGACTTCATTCTGATAGCTGAAGGCTTGTGTCACATCCCACAAGGTAGGGGTAGATTTCAGTTCCTCACGGTGCAATAATCCATCAGGATGCTAACAAAATTACAATGGTTGTGGGGAAATAATCAGCCAAACCAGAAGGCTCCACCATCAGTTACCCTAAGTGCTTTAGGGGTGATTTTCTCAACAGAGGCTTTCTGCTGGAGCTTCCCAAGCTGGTGAAGATGCCTGCCCTGGGAGGGGAGTGGGGCTGTCTGAATCTTCTGTGGAAAAGGCAGAAGACTACAGATTCAGGGGCAAGTCTTGACCCTGCCAACCGCACAGGTACCCTAACTCCTCCTGTTGGTGTTGCGTCATGGAATGGAGAGGGCAGCACTCAGCCTGACAGCTCAGCCAGGCTGAGTCCGCAGAAGGGTATACAAGCTCCAAAAACTACAGGAGGCTTTGTCCTTGTCAATCAGGATTGCTTTCCATTACTGCCCTGAGTTAATGCTGGAGGCTCCCATAAAAGAAAGCTTTTGGCAAACAGAAAATGACATTATCTTCGTGCTTTGGTGTTTACTTGAGGCTTACAAAGTATAAGCTAATGCGAGTATGAATCCGTATTTTTTTTCAGGGTATTTCTTTATATTTTGAAATCTGTGCTGAAAGATAAGTTTGAAATCCCAGGCTCACCCAAAGTCAGTAAAACCAGTGCCCTCAGATAATTGGGAACCTTGCTCTGGGAAAGGGGTGTCAGGGAGCACTCTTTCTTTTCCTGTCTAATTGTTCCCACACTGAATCTACTTATGCTATTTCAGAAGAAATTCCAACAGAAAGTTCATGCACCATAAAGAGCATGAGATCACGTGTGATGAGGCATCACATAACATGTTCCCACTGAGCTCATATCACATGATGTGCATCTTGTCACTGAGTGAGAGAACATCACGGGATGTACCACGAAGATGATGCTCTGGACTTCAGCCTACGGACTTTCCACAGATTATTTCTAATCCCTCTGACACACCTTCCAGACAGCTGCTACAATTCCAGGTTATGGGGAGGACATGGGCTTACAGAGGTACACCATCTACCCACCAGTAAGGGTACAGCTGGGATCCGGAGCCAGGCTGTCTGACTTTGGAACCGAGCTTGACAGCTGGGCAATGCTCGCTCCCCTAGGGGCTGTCTCCACCCAGAACCTCAGGGACTCTTGGTCTGGTGGCCATAAGGGCCGTCCAAAGCAGGCCTGCATCTGATGGGATCAAGTAGTATGAAATAACACATTTTGACCGTCCTTGACTCCTGCTCTCCTGTCTCTGTCCTCGGTCCATGAGGAGATCTGCAGCCATGCCCTGGTACACACCTACTCCACACCTTGTCATCATGCAGGACCCAGGTGGTGTGGCTTCCTGGAATTCCATGTCAGAGAGGGTAGGTCTCTCTTAAGGAGCTGGCATGCTTTCTTCCTGGCACGTGGCATTGCTGAGCTGAACGTAAGGCTCACTTACGTAACGTCAGACTGAATCAGTCATTGCTGCTTCTGGGTACCCGGTACTACTCATTTGTATGAGTTCTTGACCCACTTATTCTAAATATTCTGTTTATATCGGTTAGGTCTTTATCCAGAAAGAGGTGTAGTATAAAAGATACACATATATAACACTTAGAGCATTAACGAACGCGGAGCAACACAGAACTCAAGGCTAGAGTATGTGTCAGAGCCTTGATTCAGTGGGGAGAGGTCAGGGTGAGCAGGAGGAGAGGAATGCATGCAGGACAGCTGATGGACCTGGAAAAGACAGCAGGAGCCTGAGGGGCAGGTGGGAGCCTGCTGCCCATGCCACTGGGGGTCCCCGAGGTTGCAGAGACCCTCGCACAAGACACAAGCTTGCAGAGGTTTATCCCCAAAGGTCTGAAAAGTAGGAACCTGGCTCTGTCCCACCTGGGAATGCCGTAGAAGTACTGCAACAGTTGGGTCAGCTCGATGCTGGAGGTGTGTTTGCTGGACCAGAGCGGGCCCCTCGTGCAGACCTGCACCACTGCTCTTCCCTGGTGGTCTCGGGTCCCTGAAGAAACAGAGGGCATCGTGAGGGGGCAGCCCCAGTGGGGACATGCATGGCTTCAAGCCTGAGAAATACTGAGCTAGGGTCTGCAAACTGTTGAGGTGTTGGCTTAGATGTGAGATCTGCCAGGAGAGGAGGGGCTGGTACTCACCTGGACAGGAGAGCTATGCTCAGCTAAAAGGGCGATGGGCACTGCTGTGGCCTGAATGTTTGTGTTCCCCCAAATCCTTATGTTGAAACCTAGCCCCCAGTGTGGGGGTACTAGGAGGTGGGCCTTTGGGAGGTGCTTACGTTATGAGGGTGGAGCCCCATGAATGGGATTCATGCCTCTTACAAAAGACCCCAGATGGCTCCCTCACTCTTTCCACCATGTGAGGACACAGTAAAAAGGTGTCAACTATGAACCAGGAAGAGGGGCCCTCACTAGAACCTGACTGTACTGGCACCTTGATCTTGGACTACCAGCTTCCAGAACAGAGAAATACATGTCTGTTGTCTAGAAGGTATCCAGTCTCTGGTATTTTGTTACACCTGCCCAGAGTAAGACGGCCATGCTCACCTGGGAGGGTGATGACCCCGGACTGCAGGAGCTCCTGGCTCACCTCCAGCACCTGCCTGGGCATCTGACTGGGCATGTCTCCTCTGCTGGGTGGCTGTCCTCCTCCCTTGGGGCACAGTGGCTCAGCAAGCACATCTGGAATCTGGCCAGGATCGTGCCCTCGGAAGGTGCTGCTGTCTGTGTCACCACCAGCTAGACAACAGAAAGAGACCTGGTCAAAGATGGAGGGTTTCTCTGGTTTGAAGGCAGCTACTCAGCTTGCCACACACACAAGGAGAAAATCATGAGTGAAAATACTGGGTCCCATGAGAACTTGTCCCATTTCTAGTGGAAAACATCAGCGTGTCACATCTGACCTAACAGGTGCATTCCTGAGCAGTAGGGCATGAATAAACACATAAAAACTGAACATTCCAGTTGCACCAAGAGTGCTCACTACTTAAACACACTTCAGGGAGAAAATTTTTATACTGAATAATGTCATCCTAATTTATTTTTTCATACAGATTTCCCAAAGAGTGTCATAAAAATATATCCACGAGGGGTGAGAGCACCCTGAGGGCAGGCAGCATCATAGTTGGGCGTGCCTCCCCCTCCTGCATCACCCAGAGAAGGGGGACCGGGCTCCCCTGCATCGCCCGAGAGGGGGGACCTGGACCTCCTGCATCACCCAGAGAGGGGGGACCTGGAACTCCTGCATCACCCGGAGAGGGGGGACCTGGACCTCCTGCATCACCCGGAGAAGGGGGACCTGGACCTCCTGCATCACCCAGAGA